CGATTTGTAATGTTCAGAATTTGACAAACTGTCGAAGTTAGTCTTAACTATGAAGACAGTTTTGTGGACGTTTTTGAAAAGACCTTTACAGAAATCCACCTCCGGCTATTTTGCTACGTGAAGTGACAATGACCAGAGTATAAACCAACTGGTCGTGTTGTCGATGCAAATATGGCAAGGAAGCAACCACAGAACCCTACAATTCCCCACACAGTCCACTATCAATCTTAGTTGGAAAATCTGCTTAGCTTTCTGGGCAGAGGCTGGGTGGAGATCAGCTGGAGAATGCTACCGGATAACACAAGAGACAATAAAAGGACATTTTCCTGGAAATTAAAAGTTTAAAATTGCGAGGAATACAATAAATGTGGTTCCGGTGAAGTGTTTAATAAGAGTGATGTGCTGCTGACACGATCCTCCCAGGTGACCTACCTTCTCTGGCTACCTTCACCTCTAGTCGTCTCTCAGTAATGGCATCACAAAGCAATTGGATTATTACTGAATAAAGTAACTCAGTTTCTGATATTAATTTGGAACAAAGTGTTCTAAAGCATTGCTGTTTAAGGGCTGCTCTCTGAAATACTGACTTCATCATCCAACAGCAAAGCAGATGTGCTAAAGTAACACCAGCCATAGAATCCCCTTTGGGCCATGTGAGTTCGAGATTGGAATCAGCATTACTACTCAGTTTATAGACGAAGATTACGACATGAATCTTTTTTATTTTCAATCTCCACTGGTGTACTTAATAAACCACAGAAAACAACAGTCAGACACAGTCAGGCAATAACAAAACAAACAAAAGAAAGACCGCAATCACTCTGCAAATAAATCGTTTTGACAGGGAGCGAGCGGTTTAACGAAAAGCCAACTGTAAATTACGATTGGTGCACAGAGTATGCAATCCCTCTGCAGCTTGCAGTCAATTAAAACCCAATAGTATTCAAGTCACAAGGTGCAATTGCACTGCAGTTCAACATCATCTGCTGAGATCCGGAGAGCCCACTATCTATCACTTGATATCGCTTGCTATTCAACATCCATTTGCTGGCAGCAAGAGCCTTGCCAAAAATGGATTCAAATCAGCCCCATTGCATCCAACTGTGTAGATTTGAATAAATAAACATAGTCAGGTATTTCAAGGACATTAAGATTCTGTGTCCGATAACATTAACTGAACATCCCTTTAATGTCACACTGCAATCTTCTGTATTCAGCCTGCTCCAGGTCTCCCGTCTGACCCACCCTACCATCGGTGGCCGGGCTTTCAGCCTCTCTGCACCCAACCCCCGAACTCCATCTCACAATCCCTTCGCCTTGCTCCCTCTCTTGCCTCTTTCATGACGCGACTCAAGACCCTTCTTTTTGACCGTGCCTTCAGCCGCCCCTCCTACCCCCTCTGCTATCCCTCATCCCAACCCTGCCCCCACACTCGGGTCCTGATCCCTGACTCTTCAGCACATTGGGACATCCTCCTGACGTGAAAGGCGCTTTACAAATGTAATTTTGTTTTGTTGTAGTTCAGTTCCATTTATAAATTACATTGGTTTAGGAATGTATAAATATATAAATAATTCAACCCATTCTGTTTGCTCTAACAAACCTCCTGGTTTTGCAGTTACTGACATTTATATATTACATGAACTCATGTCTATAAACCTCAAACCACATTTGTGTTTGTTTTAAAGGAACTGGCAAAAATAAGATGGACTATTTGTTAGATCTTGACTTCCTGTGACTAGTTATCTGTACACAAAATGACATTGTTGTCATGTCTTGCTTGACGATCATCAATTTTGTTGCTGCCATATTCTGTTATGTGATCTTGGTGTAATTTAAAAGCTCTCTATGATATTTGTTTTGTGTTAGTCTGACACATATAGAAACCCATCACCATCCAAACCGAGCTGAGACTTACACGCATGCCACATATTATACACCCCCTCTAAAGCACATGAAATATTCTTCCACACATCCCCTCCCCTGCAAGCGTAAAAGTAATATAGAATGTCTGCTAGGAAATGTCTCATTCCACCTGTGACTGTAATTATTTGTCCGACACGAAAGAAAATATACTGGATGTGCATTTCCAGAATTGCCTTCATACTTATTTATTGCACATTGATAAAGTAATGTGTGAGTTTCCTATCTGTCCGGTCCTGCCCCCCTCCCCCTGGACTCTAGTGAACTGTTGGACTGGGTTTTTGAGGCACGTACAGAGCTGAACAGAGGTGTCAGCTCCCACACAGCAGGACAGCAAACCCAGTGAAGATTAATGTTATTGATAACCACTTCACAGACAGATTAATCATTTACACACCCCAGTAAAGGGCAGTGACAGACATGGTCAAAACATTTAATGCCTAACTAGCCTCCCAAGAACTTTTATGTTTGGGATCAGGAGTTATATACAGTAACATTTATAAAAATAATCTTGAATTTGGTAAAGTAATAATAATCCTTGCATTTGATATAACACCTTATCATGTCATTGAGACGTCTCAAAGCATTTCACAGGATATTCTGTAAAGTGAATTGACTGTGTATTTTGTGAGTGTTTATAACATCAAAACGTCTCTAAATGCTTCACAGTGACGGTTGTAAACTCAAATTGTCAATTGGAGTTTGATGTTGCTCTGAGAATTATCGCAAACCAGTATCCCAGTTGACTTTTGGTTTTACATTTAATCAGAATCAGCCCTGATGTAAAGGTAAAATACATAAGTCTTGTTGTGATTTAGTTTAAATGTCTGACAGATCTCATTGATTCCTGATCCTTTGCTTCCGCCGTGCCCCATGCCTGGGTTTACACTGCAGGCACACATACCAATACCCTGCTCTAGGATAAAGCTCCGAGATGCTACCCTGTGTGAAAGGCGCTATGTAAATGCGAGTAGTTGTTGTATGATTCTTTATTCTCCCTTACTCATCTTTTAAGACAGGAATAGGTGTGCTGTAGGGAGTGTCCTAACATAACTGCAGTATAACAAAACACAGGGGAAGTAAATAAATGAAACACAACTTGTTTCCTCAGTATTGAGAGTTCCCAGATGAAAGCGAACAGGATGTATTTAATGTCATCATCCGAGGGAGGGAAATAGCAAATCAGTAACTCAGGTATCAGAATTGGCCGATTAATCATCACAGGTGAGAGATAAGCTCATGATCTTATTTCAAGAGATCATTTGTTGTCCTGTTGCTCATCTCCGTGGTGGCAGCCTGTGGTTTCAGTATTGATATTTACTGTATGTATCTACGGCGATATCAGTTACCAGACTCCCTCACAACATTCTAAGTAACTTTTCTGGCATCTTTCAGAAATCTTCCACGTCGACTCTCTTCCTCAAAGCACTTCTTCAAACTACATGAAGTGTGTTTGTTTGAGGTCAGCCTGACTCAGGAAACAAATTTTTTTGTTTTGCTAATTCCAAGTCGAGCAATTCACTGAACTACATTAACCCAGTTTGGGAAAGGGGCCAATCTGACAATTGGTTGAGATCGCTCCCAAATTACATTTGTTTATTTTTAAACAAAATCCGCTTTGCGAATTTGGAGACACTGAAAGGCAGGAATATTAATGTTACATTTATCTCTGAGCACCGCTAATTATGTTAGCCCCAAACCTGGCAACAGCACCTCTAAATAAATCATAATAATAACAAATAATAATAATAAACAATAAACAATAAATAATAAATAATATAATAATCCTTGCATTTGATACAGTGCCTTATCACCTCATTGAGACATCGCAAAGCGCTTCACAGAATATACTGTAAAGTGTAGTGATTGTGTTTTGTGGGCGAAACATAGCAGCCAATTGCGCACAGCAGTGTCCCACAAACAGTCGCGGATTGAAGTGACCAAATTATTATTTATTTTTTATTAATGTTTTTAAGGGATTATTACCCCCGGAAAAACGGGTTCCTACTTACTGGTAGTAAACAGAGGTGTATGGAGGAAAGAAACCTGCCTAAGATTTCGCCAAACCCGGGAATCAAACCCGTGCCCTCTCTTCCCCATCCAGTGATTATTCATAACTCTCATGCTCCATTCTCTCAGTGGGCACAGGCAGATTGCAGGATATGTATGTAAACCACAATACGGTCATCATTAGGAAAATAAGAAGTAACATTATACAAGGATTTATGAATCATTGCCCACTTTTGATGTCATCGCTGTTGAAATGAATGCGAGATATTGCAAGCTTCTAGTAGCACGTTAACACCTCACAGTAACCTAGCGCTTGCCATTACATGGTATGATTGCTGCTGTATTTACAGGCTACACGACAACTGCTTCAAATGCCAACGGTTCTCAACTAGCCACAGGCAGCCCGCATTGGGATCTCTCCCGGTTACTCTGCAGTCGTGAAGCCATATCGTCTGCTTGGAACAAGGAGTGGAATCAGGAGGCAGGAATCAGCAAAGGTTAATGGAACTCTCTCTCTCTCTCTCCACCAAAAGGCTGTGGATTATGGCTGGATCCATTCACATTGTCCAGACTGAGGTGGAGAGATGTTTGTTAGGTCACGGTATCAAGGGATACAGGGCAAGGGGCGGGTAATTGGAGTTGAGGTACAGATCAGCCATGATCTTATAGAATGGCGGAACAGGCTCAAGGGGCTGAATGGTCTTCTCCTGTTCCTATGTAGCTGTGGCTAATATGTCCCGACATACCATCAATGCCAAAATCTCTGGCCTTTTAGCTCAGTTCAGCAAAACGTGACAGCCGTTGCTGTACTGGATGGGAGGTTGTAGTAACCATTTCTAGGGGTTATGTCAGTGCCCTCACCAAACACTACACATCTGATCTCACCCTCCAGCACAGCCAGTCCTCCCATCACAGCATCAAGTGCCGCTTTTGAAAGGATTTCAGGGTCCTGGCCCTAAACACCTTCCCGACAACCTGTCCCAATGGTGAATTACTCTGCGAGTAACAAACATCACAGCCTTTGGCTGCAGGACTGTTAGTTAAAGGGGGGAAATGTGCAGGCTCACCTTACGAAGATCGTCCAGTCCGTATTCCACTGCGGATGTCAGCACCTCCAGGGCCTGAGGGATTCAAAATAGTCGTCAGGGGTCAAAGGACACAAAGACTTGTTATTCTTCTTATTACATATTTTTATTTCCTCTTTTTTAATATTTCCTTTTTTAACGAACATTAGAGTAAGAATGTCTCCCAGACAGACCACTTCATTGGGCAAAGTCAAGTGACTGAACGAGACCTTTTTTTTGCCTAATAATAGCTAAGGCACACGATAAAGATTCCAGCGCAGCGGGAGATTTAATCACCACAATACTCTTTGGCAAATTTGAGCACTTCACTTCCTGTGTGAGGTTAGACCCTGAGAATCAGCACAATACTATAGTGCAGGATTCACACATTCACAATGTCGAATACTGTAGTCAGCATTTGGAGACTTTACAAGTTGAATCCTCTGCTCATCTTCCTCTTCAGCAGGTTTCACGGCTTAGCAATCAAGAGCAAGTTGATTTTGCAGCTCCCACCGCACACTGGGTTACTGGCTAATGCAGCTTCACTAATGCTGCTCCATCTTGGAGAATAATAATCCTGCATTTGATACAGCGCCTTATCACGTCATCAGGACGTCTCAAAGCACTTCACAGGATACACTGTAAAGTGTAGTGACTGTACTTTGTGGGCAAAATCAGCTAACTCAGCACAGGAGATAAAACCTTCCTGGTTGGTTAGCAATATCATCAGGGGAGGCCCTCTCTCCCAATCTAGATTAGTCGACTGTTTTTGATGCCAATATTTCTGATCCAGTGGTGGGAGGGTGGGGATCTGGGGGTAGGTGAGGGGGGTGAGGGGTTGGGGGTGTGGGGGGGTATTTGGCTTTTCATTTGATGGCGAGATTTCATCCAACAACTTGAAAGATTTTACTTTCAGTCACAAAACACGTATTTGGAATGAAATCTCTGAGTTTAATCAAAACTGAAGTTTGTGAAATCTTGTTGCAAAACAAGTGATAGCAGCGGTCATTCCACCCACAACAGCACCCACACACAAGTGCTCTGCGGATTCACACATTCACAGCTTGTTCTGCACAACTGTGGGTTTTTGTCTGAAGGCTGCCCTGAATCCAGGACAAAACAAGAAAAAAATATTTTTTTGGAATAACTTGTACCGCATTTTGTACTGGTTCAACATCAAACAGCAACAACGTCCCCCAAAAAACAAAACAGTTAGGAAACTACAGCAACAACGGCAGAAATTCAAGGGCAGTTAAAATGTCAAGATTAATCACTGACTGCTTTGTTTTAAAAAAAAATGAAAACAGATTCAAAAGGTGGAGGAGAACTGCTCCGAGACTCCGCCCGGCGTGGAGGGCGCTATAGAAATGCAAGCTGTTGCTGCTGTTGCTGTTGAGAAACCGATTCCCTGATCTTCGACGCAGAATTAATTCCCAAAGGGATAAAAGAGTTTCCAATACTTACTATCTGGCCACTCAGTGTCACGCGGTTTGTGTAGAGAAACTCCAGCACAGCCAGGAAGACATCGGGCTGCACGTTTGGAAAAACAAATGGAAGGTTGGCCTCCTGTGGCCCACACACAGGTTGCTGCTGGACAAACATGTCGTGAAAGAGCTGACAGCGGCACGCGAGGACACAGCGATGGGCGTACACCACTCTCTTCTCTTCTCCAACAATGAACTCCACATCACTGGGTATACAAAAAACACACACGACGCGGCAAGTTACACTGACTGAGCTTAATTAATCTGCTTAAACGTAACCTTTCAAAACAAGGAGATGTATTTCAAGGATTCACAGGATTAGCAAATCACCATTACTGTCCCTGTCTGGAGTCTCACTGAAGAGCAACACTTGCTATATAGGTCAAAGAGCAACTGAGACCACAAGCAAGACTTGTACTTCTGTTATCTGGCATAGAAATTCATCACAAAAGCATCCTTTTATATGAATACCCCAGAATAACATACTATACTAATAAAATATATCTCAACACTTTGAGATGACTCAACGATATAAGGCGCAATATTAAATGCAAGGATTATTATTGTTATGAGCAGAACATGTGCACTATAATTGCTTTGAAACTTTCTCCATCGATACTCTCCGATAGCCACATAACCACACTTCACTTCCGACAACTTTGCAAAACATTCCCCACGCAGGTTACATCGGAAGGTGCAATGCGGAAAAGAAGGAATTCAGGTCATCCTGTCTCATTTGTTCCCAGCTCCCCAAGTCCAGCCACCTTCCCTCATCCCAACCCCCTGTGCTTTCCCCATAACCACTCAACATTCTTCCTATTCAAATACGTATTTAAAAGGGAATTAGCTGTTATGGTCCTGGCCTCAAAAAACACTTGTGCAATGCATTCCATTTCCAAGAACCTGACATGTCAAATGAATGGTTCTAACCATAAATATGCAATTTCGCTGAGTGGAAATGAGTTCATGTGAAGGAAAAATCCTATTTCTGCTCCCACTGCCCCCAACACCCCATTTTTCCCAATGTTGACATCAATTAAGAGTTGAGGATTTGGATAGAACAAAATACAACAACAATTTGCACTTAAATAGCCCCCTCAATGCAGGGTAGCATCTCAGAGCTACAAATACACCCCATCCTCCTGTCAAGGGGAAGAAGCGGTCAATTCATGGAGAAAAAAGTATTATTTATAATATGGCACAGACAGAAGATGAGTTATTGGGTCACTCAATCCCCGACTGTTTGTGCGACGCTGCCGTGCACAATTGGCTGCCGCGTTTCGCCCACACAATACACTTCAAATCATAGTATATTCTGTGAAGCGCTTTGAGACCCAACATTTAAGGACAGATTGTTTTGACTGTTCCTCAGCGAGTCAGAGCTGCAAACCTTGCTGGAGGATCTCTGCTAATGGTCGAGTTTTAAAATTGTTTCTGCTGGAACCACACAGGTTTGTCCTGTTTCCTACACTGCGGTCGGGAGGTAAGAGTGCTGATTTGCACTTGATGTTTGCTAATGATTGAATTGTCAAAAAAATACAATTGCTATCCATTTAGGACTGTTAAGTATTTCACTCTCACTCCCTTGCTATCTTGTTCAAATTGTGTTCTTTTTCCAAAATCTTTCATGGATTGTGCAGTGAAAGTCTTTATCACACTGACCATCACTGGTCAGACAAGGAATTATAATAATAATAATCCTTGCATTTGATATAACGCCTTAGAAACGTCTCAGAATGTTTCACTGAATATACTTTATCAATATATTTCATGAGCGAAACAGAGCAGCCAATTGTGCACAATAGTATCCCACAAACAGTGGATTGATTATAGTCCCGAAAGCTCACAAAAATGTTTTTGTATAATCTGTCATACTGTGTTAATATTTTTCTCTCTTCTCTACAATTTGTTCTAATACAAAATTTTCCAAAAATCCAAAATGGCCATTAAACGGCTAAAGCTGCAATAACAACAGACAATGTCAATGCCTTTCATCGACCTGTCTCCTTCCAAACATTTCCATTTCTCCCGATAAGAGGGATAATAGGTCACTGAAAGACATTGACAAGGATTGAATCATTACCAATTAAAACAGACATTCAACCCTACCATTGCTAAATGTATTTATTTCAAGAGGTTGATGCAAAGGACCCGAGATGGTACAGTGCAAATCCACTGTCCACAATCTCACCAAACCTCCAGCCCATCGTCTCAGTCAGACTATCAGGATGATGTGTTAGGCCAAGCAGAGCCCAGTCCAGGCTCTCTCTTATCAGGAGAGATAGAAACATTTGGAAGGAGACCATTCACTGTTGGTCCATCTCTTAGTGAACAGACTTGTTCATGGGTGAGAGTGAGCAAAAGTGTTGGGGCTGGTCATCTGGCCACTCTCTTAGCTGGGGCAGTAATAGTGCAAAGTATTTGCAGGCATCAAAAGGAGAACAATATTGGAGAATAACTACCAGGTGATTTCAGATGGAAAACAATTGAGAAACCAGGGAGTAAAGTTTATAATTTTTTAAAAGATTTACAGCACTTGCACTAGTTTAAGCCAGCAATAAAAAACACAAGGAATGCTTTAGCGCCTTGGGATGTCCCCCCAACATGAAAGGCACCAAACAAATGTAATTTGTTGTTTGTTGACATCTACAGGTGCAAAATAAATTAAATATACAGTCTCACAGACGAGGAGCAGAGGAACCTAGCCACAGGGAATTTTGCTATTGATGTCAATTAAAGCAGATTTCTCTCTTATCTGCTGAACAGATTGATGTCCAGTTCACCAATGACAACCAGTCAGATGCTCCTGTCTCAGGAGGCCATCGCTCAGCTGAACCAGGCTCTGTCTGGTGATAATCTGGGAGTGCGTCGCCATGCTGGGTCCATCTCCACACGCAGGAGCTCCCAGTCCATAGACGTCCACGGTAACAAACATCTCCCGCATCCCAAGAACACAGAAGGAAAAGCCCACATTCCATCCAGAAGGAGCTCGGTCATGAGCAACATCAATGTCCCATTCTACCGTAAGGGCTCCATCACCATGATGCTCGGCAAAAGGCATTCCATGAGCTGGATGTTGTCCGGCCAGCTCAGTTTCTCTGGATTGCCACTGTACCAACCCATCAAAGAAGTAACACACGGAAACACCTACAAAGCCCAGCCTGATGAGGGCTGCAAATTCGACACTGGTAAAGTCCAGAAGCTCCTGGAGAACATGCTTTCGAGTTACTTGGCTGACAGCAAGTACAGCCCTCTGACAAGTGGACAGTTGGCACAGGGCCTGAGCGACTTCATCAGGCTCAAAGTGAAGGACGTCAATGCACCGAGATACAAGCTGGTGTGTCATGTGGTACTGGGCCAACTCAGTGACCAGGGGCTGCACATTGTCAGCCGTTGTCTCTGGGACACGTCCACTGACTCCTACGCAGCCGCCACTTACAGAAACTCCTCACTCTTCGCTGTTGCTACAGTCCACGGGGTCTATTTTGAATAAGTAACTTACAGAAGTGTTTGACCAAAGAATACCTTAAGTGTAATGGCGAGCAATGCTACATATGACTTGTTTTAAAAGATCATTTTAAAATATTGTCTTTGCAGTAGTGATCCACAGTAGTGGCTAATAGTTGAGCCTTTCTTTAAGTAGGAATAACACCTTCCAGGAACTGTGGTCCCAAGCCTCAGGTTCATCATCAGCTGTTCAGTGACAGACACCAACCTTCAGCCGGGTGGGAAACCCATACAGGAAGATTAAGTGCTGGCCTCCTTGAGGTTCTAGACTTGAGGACCAGGTGCGACACCAGGTTTACTCAGCACAACCTGCTTAACCCAGGTGTAGGGCCATCACAAGGAGATGTGGAGGTGCTCTGCCCCCAGGGAGCTGAGCAATAGGTCAGTGCGTAGGAAACCTCACACTAGCCAATTGTGGCCTGGGTTAACTTATCCTAACTACCAGATTCTCTGAATTTAGCCTGGTGTATGAGCATGGCATTGTAGCTTTACATGAATGCTTCACTTCAGACTCTAAACACTATTAAAGTTTTACAAAAATTGATTTGAGAATTTTATACTTATTTTTGGTGGAGGGTGAGGGGGCACAGGTGGGGAGAAGAAAAAAATGAAGCTGTGACTAATATGCCAACACACCCAACAAGCATAGAAGTCACAAATCACATTGTAATTAAATAAACTAGTTTTGGAATGTGTGAGCCAGTATCAGTACCAAGCCAATGAGCGAATATGGGAGTTAATGAGTAAAAGGGAAGAGAAAAAAAATATTTATATAGCATTTTCCATGTTGGGAAAGACATGAAGCAAATTACATGGCTTTAAGAGCTGGAATTTAATAGCATTCTCCCCCCACCCCCCAATGTTGGGAAGTTGGGGGAGAATGAATGAAATTACAGTTCTTGATATATAATGATTGCACACACGGCACATTTGCAGCTATTACATTGAACCAGAAATACTGGAGATAAGGAACACTGCGGTGATCAAACCAAATAAATGTGAACCTAAAAATCCAGGATTAACATCCCTTAAAATCAGATGTTGACCTTCTCATTCACTGATGTTGAACAGCCAGGACACTGAGGGATTGGACACTGGAGAGGGTGTATCCGTTATCAAAATAAATGGAGGTGGGGAAAACAACAAATTACATTTGTTATAGCACCCAACAACAACTTGCACTTATACAGCGCTCTCCATGCAGGATAGCGTCTCAGAGCGCTTAACAGTGGCGGAGCCTGACTGCGAGCCGGTGGGGAGGTGGTGGTGAGCACCGTCAAACAGGAAAGCTTCAGGCGGGACTTGAAAGAGGGGAGAGAAGGAGTGAGGTGGCGGGGTTGAGGGAGAGTGTTCCAGTGTTTTAGGGCGTAGTGGCTGAAAGCACGACATACGATAGTGGGGCGGGGGGTGCGAGGGGACGAGCAGAAGCCAGTGCCAGTCGAGCGGAGGCTCTGACCGGGTGGTGGGTTGGGGAGTGAGGAGGTCGGAGAGGGAGGGAGGGAGGGGCCAGGGAGTGAATGGAGGGCCGATGTCCCAAAGTGCAAGTCAGTCAAGGATGTGCATCCAAGCTGTGGGTTGGGGTCAGGAGAGTGACTGAAGGCGCAGTTGAAGAAAAGGTCTTGAGATGGGCCTTGAAGGAGGAAAGGGAGGGGCGAGGAGTTCTCAAGGGAGCGGGGCAGAAGGAAAAAAAGGGAAACTGATGCAAATAAAACAAATCTACTTATTCCCATCCCCAGTGAGATAGAAGATTTATAGGCATTCCTCAAGTCTAAATGTATAGATTACAATGTGACCTACTTGTGCTGTACGGTGAGTCCTCTAACCCAGAGGTATAAACCACACTACAAATAGTTGCCAGGGAAGATCAGCTGCATTTACACCTGGAGAGATATATCCCCACATAAAATAGACTAAAAATTGAAATGATTTTAATGAAATTTTATTTTTAGTAAAAAATTCACACAATATCACACAATTCCTCTCGATAGACAAACGTTTGTCACATTTGTCAGTCCCTAAGCAAGTGGAAAATAAATACAAAAATAAATACAATCTCAATTCACATTCAACATAAATAAGACCAGATTTAAATTAAGGAAAATGAAGTATGGAATAGGGCTATAATTAATTTAGATTAAGATGGATTAAAGATCACAGGAACTATTTAGCATGTCAATTGTACACACATTTGTAATGCAAGTGTGTGCACAACTCTCGACACGAGGCACACTTCTAGATGTGGCGTTTATTAAAGACCCAATTTATCATGTTCCGATGCTTAAAATTAATCGACACCACATTCAGTCAGGTTTGTTATTTCAGCAGATTTCAAACCCAAATCAAAAGACATTGGTTTCCAAGAACTGGAATAGAAATAATTTCAGTAGGAGAAAACTCCAGTCATCTAGTATACAAAGTTAATGTTACATAGATTATTGCCCATTCAATTAGTCTGTGCCTTTAAGTCATGGTATTACTCACTCAAACACACAATGGGAAAGGCAGTTCATAAGCTTTCTCTTCAGGATTGATAACAGTTATTACCCTCACTCACCTATCCTGTGGCAGTGTGTCTATCCAGTACATGTAACCAGTGCAATACATCGATCTAAGTTAACACTGGTGAATGACAACATTCTGAACTTGGGTTCACAGCCAGACACGACAGCACAATGGTAATATACCTAAAGACAGAGAATTTCTTCCCAAAGGCACTTGGGTCTCATGACTGGAAAACCACACATTCCTGCCGTTTAGTAGTGAGAACATTTACTACACCAGAACAAACTGAAAGCAATATGTTTGCTAAAATCTGTCTAATTGCCAGCCAAGCATTTAAAGTTTCAAATTGAGGTGTGCAGAGTGAAGGGTTTCAGTCAGTGAAGATCTTTTTTTAATATAATCACCGGCAATTAGTAATTGGTCCAATTTAGTGTTTAATCCCACTATCAGTTAAGAACGCAAAATTTAAAGAGGACGTGAAACGCAAGTTAACTTGCCTTTAATATTTAGGAGAAAAAAATCCAATCATTGGCACTTAGAAACATTGCTCCTCAAGTTCTACTTTACTGCACATTAACAATTCCTGGAAAAATTGGAAGCGCTGCTCAAAGCCACTCATTGCAATGGACGATAAGCACAAAGTTTTTTTTGCACCTCCACAGTTGGCGAGTTTAAGAGCTAAAACTAAGACTTCTTGAAAATTGTCTTACCATTTGTATTTCCCCAAGGCATTTCTCCCCAGGCTAGGCAGCAGGATCTACACATTGTCTTCACTGAAAAGCCAACCCGGAAACACTTCACTATATAGTCCTCAGATTGCCCGAAACTAGACATTTGCTCAATACCTTGTTATTGAAGAAAAATACATTCATAAATCCTCAAGCATTACAGGAGAAAAGCATTAACAAAAATAGCTTCTATAATAAAGTTCTTTTTCACAGATGGCAGCAACATTGTAAGTGAGGCAAGATTCTAAAACCATCTCATTGGCTTGTGGTTTGCTTCTTAAACAGCAGCTTATTGTAGCCAGACACTGGCCAGACAATGAGGTCTCATTAAGTCTCATGGTGCATCCTGCAGAGCTGGCTCCACAGTGGAAACAATGCTAAAATACTTCCTAGCAACATCACCCCCCCAAAAGTTAGTTCAGATTTGGCTTCAGCTTTCTGCTACAGCAAGAGTTTCAGGGTGTAGTTCAAGCGATGGTAGAGTTCTTGTGAGCAGCCAATTTCTGCAATGGTGTCTAGTTTGAAGGTGCAAGCAACTCGATCCTTGTTGATGTAGGTGAGTAGATGGGAGTGTTCAGGTTTGCACAGAATAAGCTTTGTGTGATCTTGATAAAAGTTAACCTGGCCAAAGAGGAGAAAAAAAGCACACACAATTGACGCAACTTGAAAATAAAATGCTTCGGAATGAAATTCTTTCGTCAAACAGAAGTTGTAAGTTGGGAAACAAATCTCCTGCAATCCTTGCATTACTCTGTCCCAAGCAACCTTACCTGCAAGGTGCCATTATTGAACAACATCAATAAGGAATGATCAGTTTTAATCCACTGCAGTAGGAATAAGGAAGGATCGTGACAATCTTCAGCAGTCCTCGCCAAGTCACCTCCCTGCAGAGAGCAGTGTTCATTAGTACAACTGTATAGTTTTAAATAACTATCATAGCATTTGATATAGCGCTTTATCACATCATTGAGATGTCTCAAAGCTCTTCATTGTATATTGTAAAGTGTAGTGACTGTATATTTTGTGGGTGAATCGCGGAAGCCAATTGCGCACAGCAGCGTCCCCACAAACAGTTGTGGATTGAGTGACTTGATTTTTTTTTCTTTTTTGGAGGGCTTATTACATTTGTGAATCTTACACCATTTGCAAGATAGATGTGGTTAAAGTGATATGGTTAAGAGCTCTTTAAGAGCAACTGTTAACCAGCCTCACAGCTTCAATAAGTTGAGCAAACCAAAGAGAAGCCATGGCAGTGATTTCAAGAACCAATTTGAATTCAAGCAGGTTAAGGGTTTAACACAATAAGAAAGTAAGTCAATCACTGGTTATTGGATGTCTAAGTGACCTGAGGTTGCCAAAGCCAGTTTCTCACCTCCATCAAATGCTCCTCCATGTAGGTGGCAAAATATTGGACAACTTTCATCTGGTTGGCCAACTGCTCAGGAATAGCAGAGGCAGAGAAGGAGAAGTGCTGACTGTTATTGAGGTAATAGTACACATTTCTGGAAGAGAATAGGGACAAGTCAGTCTGGATACAGGGGGTCACGCAGCCTAATACAAACAAGCAGAAGCCACATTAGCAGAAATATTAGGAAACAAAAGTGTATACAAGTTGCAAATAAAAATAATGGAGGGTGGGGAGAGAAGAGGAAAGGAAGAAAGAGAAAAAAAAGTGGAGAATTTATCAACGAATGTGCATTGGATGAAGCTTTTAGAAGTCTGGTGGGCGAGAAGAACATGGTGTCAGTGGTACTCACCTCCTGTCAGCAGAGAGGCTCATGTGGGTGCCATCATTGAAGAGCACCCCAATGGTGCGATTAGACAACTGGTAGCCAAAGCCATATTTATTGGAGTAGTCAACCCATTTTGTGACCCAAATGAACGGGGTTGTCCTGTGAATGCTGTGTCCAATAGGGTTCTTTTTAGCTGTAAAGAAATGACCGAATGAGTACATCGATACTTGTACATCAAACAAGATCCTAGTGTCACTGCATTCAGTCACCAGAACCAAATCAAACACTAACTCAAGGCTTCAAATGCAATAGGAAACCTCTCCGCCAAGTGAATGGCAAGACACAGGGATCTGTTGACAACTAGTTTCTCATTCACAAATGGAAACTCCCCGAGTGCTGATTGGCACAGAGAAATTACCCCCAGCCCCCCGCTCATCCACTGATGCAGGCAGACAGGTATGTTTATCTTAAAATGATCATGAAATAACAAGTCAAAGAATTCACAATGGGAAAAGAAATCTGAAATATTTAGCAATCCCTAAACAAAATTACTTCATTAGTGAATTTTAATGAAAAAGCCTGAAACTTACGTGATGGCATGTTGGAGAGACAGCTCTTGAGAATGTGCATCGCTGACTCTGCCGCTCGGCGGGCTGTGATACTGTCTTCAGCAGCTGCAAAGGAAACTGAGTTAGCTTTCAGGAGGCCAGAGGTTGCTACCTACGCTAAGTGTATAGTTGGTCATTTGTTGGGTGGATATATAACCCAACCCTCCTTGTCAGTGTGGCAAGAGTGACATTTTGCTGGGTCTGAAGGGCAATCAGACAGCTGGCTCAAGTGGTCTCCGAAAATTGAGTAAATCATCTTTAATGGAGTGGACAGGACGGTCCACAGATTTCCCCAATCAGCAGCGTAACGTTATTTATACCACATTTCACTGATCAGTAATATTTATGCAGTACACGCAGCAAGCCAGGTAAGTTAATTTAATTATTTGTTTAGTTACCTTACAAATGCTTTAAGTTTAGCATCAAATACTGTACTGTTTAGTAATTTCACAAGTACTTTAAGAGCGAGGCTGGGAAATGAAGATCTCTTCGCAGAAATTGTAACATGACCACAGGGGTGACTAGGTTGGCAGCTAATTTATCCTCCCAGAGGAACAGGAACGTTCAGCTGAGACACAGGAAACAGCGACTCACTTTCACTTTGGGCACTGGCAGGCGTGCAGCGTGATCTGGAAGC